ATTAACAAGTAAAGAACAACAAACGAGAAAACAATTAAAGGATTTGAAGATCTATTTTCTAGGTGATCCAGTGATGTTGGCCGCACAAAACTGATGCAACATCGAATTGATACGGGGGATCACTCTCCGATAAAGCAGCATCCCAGACGTTTACCATTTGCAAAACAGGAAGAGGTTGGAAATCTTCTGAAGGAGCTGCAAGAAAATGATATCATCGAACCATCCACAATTCCACGGGCATCTCCTATAGTTCTCGTCCGGAAGAAAGACGGCTCGACAAGATTGTATGTAGTGTAAATGTTTGTTTCTTTAGTTATGCTATCTGTATGTTTTAAAACGTTTCGATTGTATTGAAGTTGGCTTCTGACTAAGGGTTGTAGTGCCCGGGCCGTGCAGTCCTTGGGAGGGGGCAGTGTTACGAAATGTACAGACGCGGTGAGATGGCTTCCCCGCAAAGCAATTTTAGGGTTGCCACAAAAATGACAAAGGAAGGCAGGGTTGCCACATTTGGCGAGAAATCGCCCATTTGACGACAAAATTGGACGGATGGAGAACCTTCTGGAACGAATTATTACCAGTTTAGCCCAGAATGTTTCTGAACACAACCCGAAAGCTATATAAACCCTGCTGGTCCACAGTCAGTTAGCATGTGTCTCATCTAGCGAGTCAATCGAGTTGACAGCCAGGCAGCAAGTTCCAAGTGGGTCGTCAAGTGCACCGAAGCAGTGTGTTAGTGTAACGCGGTTAGTGCATCGTCAAGAGAACGGTTGAGCTCTGGGAACGACTGAACCGAAGAGTCGGGAGCTGTGCTCGTGTGTCGTTGAGTGCATCGCGAGTTGTAGCGTGGAGAGTCTCGAGAGTACGTGGAGTTCCAAGAACGACCAACCAGAGTCGGGTGCTTTGCAGGAAGCTGTCTCCACCGTTATTGCTTGACAGTGTGAAGGCTGTGTCGCTGATTGTTCCAACGTGTTTATAGTAGACCTTCAACAACTGTAAAAGTGTTTTCGAGCTGTCCTGATTAATATTGATAAATAAAGTGTGTTTCGATACTTCATCCAGTGTCGTCATTATTCACTCCAAATCCATACGAACCCCGTACGAACGTAACAACTGGTGTTAGAAGAAAAGAAAAACGCAACAATATAATACATGCAAGAGGAGAGTGGAAACATTCATAAACAACTAAGCTTTGCATAGGAATTTTAGACCAGCATTAAGGCTCTACTAACCATTATACCATTCAAAGTAGCAAATTGTTAAATATTTATAAAATTACAGTTGATTATATATATGTTTGGTGCAGCCGATTGCAGCGAGAAAGGTAGATGCATAACTAGATGTTATTAGCAGTCCCCATATACAAATTTCAACGTTCTACTGCTTCTCGTTTTTGGATTATTCGAACACATACGTACGTTCACACGTACAGACGGCATGAAAACTCTTTGGAATCCATTTGAGAAAAAAGAATTTTACAATCCATTTGGATTTATTTTCTCTGTACGTAACAGATGTTGCATAAAAATTTCGTTCAAATGGATTCGAGAGTGCTAAAAATGGATATTTTCATTGAAATATGATACCCAAAATTGTTTACTATTGCAGTACTTCCTTATACGAAGAAAAGAATGTAGAGTCCTTTATTCTGTCCATACGTACGGATGTCAAGCAAAAAATTCCTTTAAATGAATTCGAGAGCAGTCAAAATGGATATTTTCATTGGAATACGATACCTGAAATTTTTAGTGATTACAATACTTCTTTTACTTCGTACAAGGAACTAAAAATAAGAAAGAAATTGATAATAGGGTACATTTCATTTTTAGACACTATAGTTTAATTTCCTGATGCCATTTCAATGAACTTTCACTTCCTTCTAAGAAGTAAAGGAATTACCGTAATCGCGAAAAATTTCAGGTATTACATATTAACGAAAATATTCATTTTGACCTCTCTTTGATGTTTTTGCATGACATCTGTGCATACGGACATACAGTGGTTAGTGTCACTGACTGCTGTGCCGAAGGGCTCGAGTTGGAATCCCGAAGAAGTCATGGATGCTTGTAAATGTATAGTGTCCGTGCGTCATGATGGCACTCTAAATATACAGCGAGCCAAAAGTCCTCTCGAGAGGTTGATGGTAGGGTAAGAGGGATGAGAGATCCTCATAACCCCTCCCTGGGGCTCTCCATCAAAATTGAGGATAGAACTGGGCTAAATCGCACTGTCACTTTGGTGCTCAAGGCTGCTGCCGACAGGCGTAATCTTGCGTTCCTTGCTACGAGTAATTTCGTGGGCTTGGACTGACTATAGGTCAGACAAGTGAGTAGTCAACAACATATGAACATAATAAAGGGCTCTTTTTCCCAAAACGGATTGTAAAATGGATTCACAACACTTTTTCGTGATATCTGTACGTTGTACAAATTTATATCGATTAACTCAAAAATTAGCAGCCTCAGAAACACTGAAATTTTGTATACGAGACTGCTATAACATGCAGTTGTGCACACGTTGCTAAATTGTGCATTTTTTGCTTTAAAAGTGAGTGAATAATGTTAATACTCTGTTTACGGTTTTTATGCCTCTAGTTAATCTGCAAGGGATAGTTGTAAAATTATTAATAATTTAAAAGTTGTTTAAATGCTACTAAGCCGCTATTTGCTTACATTTCAAACTTTGAGTAGAGTAGGGAATTAAGTCAGTTTCTGTACCAGCTTAAGTGTCTTTTTGCCGAGAGGGACCAAAAATAAACTTTCTGTTTTGTGCACCGAAAAAAATGTCTTCTTGCACAGTGGCCAAATTGCCTTTTTTTTTTTAAACTGTATTTGGTGTTTATGTTTTTCTTTTTTTACAATGAAAATATTAGGTTTTTATGCATTTTTGCTTTGCCACCAAGTGAGAACTTAATTAATTTAATGAGAAATAAGCTTAAATGAAATGCAGCAAAAAATGTGCATAATTTAATAGGCCGCACAAGAAAGTCCTGCGGTATTCACATAACATTTTTAGCATTAGGCTTAGAGAACAAACTTAGGGGTATAATCCATTTCTAGGAATTAATGGAAACCAAATGATAAAAAAAAATATGCATTAAAAAATGGATACCAATAAAATAATAAAGTATATCAATTCAGATTTAAAATAACTTTGCTGCTTATATTATTGACACAAAGCTGTATCAAAATGTGAGCTGAGGGGTGCCACCCTGACCGAGAAGATCGCTACAAAAATTATTAATAGAAATCAGATAGGCAGCCATTATAGCATAAAGAACGCAATACTTATTATCACACAAAGCATTGATAAAATTTGTTTCTTTAAATATGCTTTAAAGCAAATGTTTTTGATATGCTTCACAGTTGAAAGCTAACAATCGTAATTCCTTTTTTAAAAATCAATTTATAATTTTTCATAGTTTATTTGGCATCACTTGTAATTTTCACCTGATGCAAATGCATGTCTTGTCCCAGCTCTGGTGATAGGTTAATATTTTCCTACTTCTCAAATTACATTATTTGATGGATGAAGTATGCAAGATATCCAAAAATTATTTAACCTATTTCAAAATTATTAAAAAATATATCAGCACTGACTGTTTTTCTACTTCAAGTATTACTAACACATTCTTGTAATGTTTTGTGGAGAAATTGATGAATGACGTTACATGTGGCATGTTGAGAATTTTGTGAGATAATTACAATTAGCAGGAATGCTGTTCAATTACAAGTGAAAATATCCAAGGACAAAAATGTTGCAGAGAAAACATAGCAGTTCTGAAACACTGGTAGTGAAGCAGTGCAAAAGCTTTGCAATTTTGAAATACCGTCGTACAAAATATCAAGGAAAAAAACAAAGCATCTACATGTCATTGATGTTAACACTGCAGACATGCATTTTTTTATTGGAAGAATTTTGAAGTAAATTTTCACATGATTTGAGAGCATAAGAAGAAATAAGTGATATTTTTATCTCTACATACCATATTTATGTATTAACAAATAATTTTTACTGAAAAAGAAGTATTAAAACTCTACTTATTAAAAAGTAATTTTAAGTACAACAGTTGAAAGAATTTTAAATTTGGATATTCTGAGCAGAGATCTCGCAACAATTTTAGTAATTTTTTTAAATGCACTGTTAGAGATGAAAAACATTTTATCCCTATCTCTTAGTTTTCTTGCAATACAATTCTGAAATCAATCTTTATTTTTAGACACCCTGTATTCATTTCTATCATTTATGGCATTCACTTTATGTAAAATGATTTAGCACACCTTAGTTGGAGGATTAAATGGCATTTTCCTCAATTTTCACTTTAATTATCAAAATATTTTACAGAACTGTTAAACAGATGCCTCACAGAAATACAATCTGTGGTACCAATATCAAATTGCACTTAATAATTCATCAGATGGCCTAATAATACAAACTTATGTACATTTGAAACAAAATATTTCATCAATTAAAGAAAGTTCCTTGCTTTATCAATGACAAAAATTTCATAGTAATTTAATGATTAAAGAAGTTAACTCTACATTTTCTACTGCATAATAATATTGTAACTTATTATGTTATAAGCTCAAAGCCTGAACTTCTCTGATGTTCAACATTATTATTGAATGCATGATAAAATTATCACAACAAATGTAATTTTTTAAGTGTGAACAACAAATATACATATAATAAGCTTTTTGTTTTCTCATAAGCATTTCTTTTCAATTGAAAGGCAATTTATAGCAACATAAATAACAGCTCTTGCTTAACAAGGAATGCTTTGTGTGGAGAATTTTTTTAGTAATTAGCTGGTCTTGAAGTTATGTATGAGGAAGTTCAACCTATATGTTCACTTTAAGAAGTAACAATTAAATGCTTAATAGTTTCACCCACCTATAGTGTATATTCAACTACAGACACTCACTAAAAATGCATTCTTAATAGCAGTAATTCTTAATATGTGAAAAGTGGACAAAATCTAAAACAAATGCCATTCACTGGAATAGTTTAGAAAATAATTTATTATACAGATATAAATCTTTCTATGTATAAATTACTACAGTGTTAACAAAAATTTTAATATGGATATTGATAATCACGTACCTTATTCAAAACTAATATTTAGTTTTGGATTACTGTCATCAGTAATGATTTTTCAAAGATTTTGGCATAAAATTTACATTGTGTATTAAAGATGAGTTTCCATTACTCTGTCAAGCATTATTAACTGAAACTCAGCTGATTCTATTGAGAACAAATGCAAATTCTTGACCTTTAAGATTTTAGTACACAGTTACTTTCCTTTATATAATGTAGCAAAATAATAATAAATAATAATAAAATTTTTTTAAAAAATTTCTTCTTTTTTCTTAATTTGCTCCCATACTGCACTCACAAGCATTCCTTCTATTTACTGTAGTTTAACTGATGATAACTATTATAGTCAGGTTAAGACTGGCTTAAGACATCTCCAAACAAAAATACACCATCTACAAAATTTACAGTGCTCAAATTGTTTATATTTATGAAATAAACAAAAGCCATAATACCTGAGCTTTATGCAAACCTTGAAATTATAAAACATATAGCAAGAATTTTAAGTGATTCTGCATAACAGAAATAATCCCAGCATGATGCAAAAAATCACAGTTCTATAAACATAAACTTGCATCAATGCAATTCCTTTCTTTTCATTCAACTACCCTACTCCCTCCTGTTAAATAAAATACAATCTTTACTAGATCTTTTTATACAGTTCTATTGCACATTACAGTAATAGTTAAACTTTGTTCTTGTAGCTTTGGCAGTTCAAATGAAATTTTATGATTTTCTAAACACTTAAAATATATTTGTACATTATTTCTTGAACAGCACTGTTGGAAAGTACTGCATTAGATACAGATCACAGAATAACTTTTGCATTAACAATAATTACAAATAATTCAAAATTAATTTTATATGATCATTTTCCACATGCAAAGAGGTAGGGACTTTGAACAAACATTTCTTAATTAATTATCACAGTAATGGAAATTCAGCTTCAGTTAGTTTGAAAAGATTTGTTAAGCAGTAAGTAAAATAAAAACAATTGGATGATCGTCTCAATGAAACTATATGCATGCTTCGACAAGTGTATTTTAATTAGAATACTCCTTTTTGACTGATTTATATCGATTTCAAATACTAAATTAATTGTTATATGTTAGCAGCACTCTTTACATTAAGAAAAACATATTCCTTACTTTTATACCAACAATTTATTTATATTCAGGAAAACATAATGCAAAAAACAATGCACTCATTTTAAATTCATTTTTGCCTCAATCAATACTAATAGCCTCACTTGCAAAGCAATTCATTTCTACAATCTCCACAGGTTTAAAAAAAAAAAAAAAAATGTGGCTGATAATATATCATCACATTTTAGTATCAGAATAAATTATTTAAATGTACATATTATATCCTAAGAGATTATAGTACATAAAGAAGACATTCAGAATTTTTTAAATTTTTTACACAATGCATCGTGAAATTGCATGTGCAAAGAAATTTGCAACATCTAGCAAGGAAAGTCTGTCTTATCAGTCATCATGATAAAAGAATAACATTAATTGCTAGCCTTTCATTTGCAACAATAATGCATGAAGGCAAACAAAAATTGAATATAATCTATCAAATTTAGAATGTCTATAATACACAAACAGTCAAACTTTAAAGTTTCCTGTTTCTTTGAAGAACCAGAGTCACACATGAAGAAACTTAATTTCAAATATACACTTGGATATTTTTACAACACATCAACTGTTCATGGAGAACTGTGCTCTTATGCTTACAAATGGGAAAGGACGAGATAAACAGCATTACTACAGAGAAAATTCCAACAAGAATGACTACAGTGTAAGAATACTGAGCATTCTAATATCATTCAAATTTACAACAAAAAGATTAACGACATATGATTTATAAATAGAAAATATCATTTTTAAAGGACACTAAAGCTCTAATATAATGCTAGAAGAACATATAAAGTTCAATAAGAGTACAATGAGAAAAATATTCTAGATATTTAAAAAAAAAAAATGAGTTCAAAATCACTTATTCTAGAAAACAAGGATAACCTAATTAATTTAATTTTATGTAATGAGATAGCATTTGTTGCATTATCCTTAAATATTCACAAGGTGATGAAAATGTTGAAAGTGAGTCAAAATTTCAATATTTCCTTTCTATGGCATGAATTTTACCTGGAGTAACAGAAAATAAAATTCTTTAAAAAAAATTCATTTAGAAGTAGTATGTGCTTTTATTTTGGGGGGGAAAAAAAAATTTCCCCTGGAAACAAAAGCACATACTATTCCTAAAAGAAGAAAAACAGAATGCCAAGTAAAAACTAAAACACTCACTACTTAAAGATTGAACATTTGATTATCTTACATGCTTATATTTTGCAACTGAAAAAAGAACATATATTATTATTACACAGTCAAGTTCCACTTCACTCATTTAAGAAAAAAAGAACTTACATTCAAAATTAGGTTATTTATGATGTAAGCATACAGAAGTTTTAATAACTAGAAGGCAAACCAATACAGTTACATGTGATTAACTCTTTCGAAGACACGCGAGTTAAATTATACATTAAAAATATTTTTTTTTCTAGAACTTTTGAGCCTTTATAATAAATAACATAAGTTTTATTTTAAAAAAATCTGCAGTAATGCAGCTATATCACAGATTAAGTATTATTTACACATAATATAACACAACACATATATCTTCGCCCCCAAAAAATTAATATCCAAGAATAAAATAAAGGAACATAATATCCTTACTTGGGGGAAAAAGACATTTTACTACACAAAGAAAATATGACAAACATTTCAGCTAAAAATAATAATAAGCATAAACATCAATTAGAGAATGACAATTCATACACCATCCTTCCACCAAACAATATAAAATAAGTATCCAATTGCCAAATGTTAATAAACACAAAGCAATATCTTAATATAAATATAAATGCCTATTATTTTGAGCATTTTGAATTCTGTTATAAATAGAACTATTTTATAAAAACAGAAACACTACTAAGAAAAAAAGGTACATTTCCGAATTAAACCAAATGAAGTAACACTGTGACTTATAATCTCAATTTTAATTTAGGAGTATTAAAAGACAGAGAGGCAAAACTATTATCATTAGGAAATGAATTGTCTAAGTATTCTTCCCATATTCAAATTGATAATTAAAGCTATAACAACTGAACATTTCTGTTTCAACAAAAGAACTTCATTTTATTTAATATAATTTGTATTAAATGCATTCGTATTTGTATTAAATGTTGGTCAGATTGGTCAAGATTCAGATAAAAATGAAACATCTGTTAGATTACTTAGCATACATTACATAACATTAAACTTGCTGTAAAGATTATTAAGTACCTTTCTGATGTAGAAGATGCTTCTAACATTGATGGTAATGACTTGAATGCTGAATAACATTAAACCTTGAACACAAGGTTCCTCCTCGAAGTCTAGAATCAGAGCATGCATACAGCACCATAATTTTCAATAAAATATAAGCATCAACTCAAGTCAGCACATCAAAACTTTTAGCACTTTCTTTTTAAGAGAAGGATATTTAATTATATACTGGAAAACTTCCAAGTATCAAATTCCCATCAATTAACCGAACACTCAGATATTAGAAAAACAAACTTTAACATAAAAGTACTAGATGCAGAAATTATTAATGTCAATGAATTAATAGGAATATACTAAAAATGTGCATTTTGTAACAATGCACTATCGAAAGGCTAAATCGGTGCTGTCTCGATCAGAAACGGGGCTGGGAGATTTGAGGAATAACACATTTTAGATTAAAAAAAAAAAAAAAAAATTAAAAACATATATGGAAAATTGTACTTCTGAATACCACTGTGAGCTTAACATACAACACTTTTGTTGTAGCGAATTCAAATGCATTTACAAAGAATACTTCTAGTCTAAATATCAATGCTGATATACTTCTTTTGCAATAAAATATAAAAACAAACAGAAAGGGAAATATGTTTGCACTTCAATTAAAAAGAAAGTAAACAGAAACAAAACAATTATGACAAAAGACGTTGGGAAAAAATGAAAAACTTCAGAGGTAATAAGTTAATATTCAAAGAGATCAGGAGATAATATGAAAAATACAGTAAAAAGTCTGAAATCCAGACATCCAATGTCCAAACATAAAAATTAAAAGGGAAGGGGGGAGATTAAGGAATTTTTTTTAAAAAAAGTCTAGGAATTGAGAATATAACACATAAATAATAACTTTTTTTAAAAAATGTGCCATGAAAGTTATCCCCCCACACTAACTAATATTCCAGTATGCGATTTTCATACACGTACTGGCTATGGAACCAAATCATGGCCAATAACTATAAACTAACTGATGTTAACCACGACCACGCATTTAAACCTTGAATGGTTGTGAAGTAGTAACATTTTCTTATCTGATCCAAGCAATAAGTGAAGCTCTCCAAGACATATCTGGTTGGTGTGGTATGCTACTCATATTGGTTTTCTTTTGTCGGCATTGCAACAGGGAAAAGAAAAATAATTATATTCCGAAGAACTTAACTTCAGTTAACATAGCAAATTGTGCTTTTCTTTAATTTCTAATTTGATTCAGGTTATTATTTCTTAACCAGCTATTGTTATTACAGCTATCTTAGCAAAACTTAAGTTTGAATTTTTTATTATGTTGAAAGAGCTTCTAATTCTGCAGCTGTATCAAGATCTGCAAAGTGAAAGTATATTTGGTAATTGCCCTCTATATCAGACTTGGTAAGAGAAAATGGCATAATTCGGGCTTAAGTAAAATGATTTCAGAATTGAGCAAAACAACCACCTTACAGATTTTGAATGGTATAGAAGGCAAATTTTTCAAATTAATGAAATTCACAAAAAAATGCGGAGAAGCGATAAAAATTAAAAGATATAATAGAAGTTTCCTTTATGATGACAAACTTCCAATCAATTAATGAATGGCAAAAACTGTAGTATGGTTCTAAATCCCAAAAATACTGCTACCGATAGTGAAGAAAATGACACAGAGGTTATTGAAAACGAAAACATTTCAATCGACAAGTTAGCTAGAATTCTCGACACAACAACTAGAGGACTTGAACAATGGAATTTTGTAACTGAACTTGACACAGAATTAAAGAGAAAATATTAGCACAAGAGATGCAACAGTTTAAATAATTTACATTAAAAGAAATATTTAATAAAACAAACAAACAGTGAGCTTTTTTTTTGTAAATTTTGATTCTCTTCAAGATCATAAAGATTCATTATTTCATAAACAATTACTTCAGATTTGTATCATTTATGCATGCCATTTTAATAGTTGTAAACTGATCATCTAAAATCCAGAAATTTCCAAAATTGACGAAGTCCCGACAATTCCAGATCTTGGGCTTTGTATCGTACTTCATTTTTAGCAATGTCTGTTTAAAATGTGCTTACCATGAAACAAGGGGGGAGGGAGAATTGGCCTGGATTACCTTTCTTATATATATATATATATATATATAACATCAAAAAACAGCCAGTTTGTCCACAGAAAAAATTTCCAGAAGCCTGACAAATACTTTATATTCACATGAAAGATCACTTCAACATTAATTAAAAAAATGTCTATTACAATATTTTTCCCCCCATGCTTATTTCTCATGACCGTAATAATTTTTCATTTTAAATTATTAAATTCCCTTTTATGAAATTACCTGATGCTAATAAATTCATCATAAGCTCTACTGCTGCAAATAATAACAGCCTTTAATAACAAAACGTAATTAAAGTCAGAAACATTTAACGACTAACATATACTGGACATCAGTTCATATTATGCTATATCACTGCTAATCTTTGATATTTCTGTGATTGTGGAAATAATACATCATTTTTCAAATAAAATAATCTTTTAAAAGATATTTGCTAACAATGTAATTATTACCCTTGGTCTTATTGCGAGCTACTCCTCTCCTACCCCCCAAAAAATTTTAATTTCACTATGATGTAAAACTTGGAGCTTATCATGCATTCATTAAAAATAAAAGAGAGAGCGTGTGTGTGTATAAAATTTTAGACACATCGATTAAAATCCAAAATCAGAATTAAGCACAACTAAATTCTATGCAAAATCTCAGTAGCAATTAAAAATAACAATTGTGTCATAAAATGCTCTAAAAAAACTATTTAAAAAATTTATAAAAAAATATGCTATTATTAGGTTTTTAAAACACAAATAAAAATACTTAATAATAAGAAATTTTAATCTTTATAATAGAGATGTTATTTTGTTGCATAAAATATTCAATATGAAATCAAATTTTCATAACAATCCTAGTTTGTAAACTGAGGAATATGCTTTAACCGAATTTCCAATTATTAAAATTTCTTTATAAAAGAATACCTATAATAGTTAATTATTTTGTAAGTATTCAAATAACTTTCAACACTAAATCTTCAAAAATTGTTAATAAAATAAATTTATACTTTATTTCATATTTACTCTGTAAACTGATGCAAAAATCATGCAGAATAGTCATTCTCCATTTGGAAGGGAAAGACATTTCAAATATAAAGTTAACTTTTAATCAATAAATCATGTGTAATAAATAATCAGATACAAATAATTCTATAAGAACTATATTATTTGATATTTAAAAATATTTTGAAAGGACTTTTACAAACTGAGAGTACTTAATAATATCAGTATTTTATGTTTAATAATAAATTCAGCTATTAAAAAATATTATAAACTGTTTCAATATCAAAATATTGCTTTAATTAATATTAATTAAATATGGCTAAAATTTACTTGATAAAGAATTCAGTGCAAGAGCCTACAGTTTATTATGTACCAATTTCATTTAAAATAAAAAATGCAAAAAAATTCATACTCAGATGCAAAACCTTTACAAAGTATTTATATTATGCAATTTATATTTATATAGCTTAGTCAAAATGAAAATAATTTTTTATATTACATTAATAATAAAATTATGAAAAACTTAAAACATCCGTAATGTATAATTTTGTCAAACACAAAATTATTAAACGACAGTACGATGCATACATTTTTCTCTCAATTTTATACATAGCATTAATTCCAGGTACCAAATTATGTGATGTCTGTTTCAAAATAGGAGGTATACTCTTGAAACTTGCAATGGATTCACATTGAAAAAAATATCAGATGACTTCATTAAAAAGGAGAGAGATAGATAAATGTTACATTAACTTTCAATACAAGTTTAAAATGTTTTATTAACTTTCGGTACGAATAAAAACGTAACACACTACGTATATTGTATATTTTCATACTTCTCCTGCAAAGCTTGACTGGTATTAATAGAAAAAATGCTATGGTACAAACTTCTATTAATGCGATAAAATGAATAAACTGAAAACAGGGAAAACGAAATGAAGATGAGTATGATAAATAACTACACACATCACATGTGATGCATAGTATCTGCACATTTGTCTCGCCTGCAAAACAATTTTTAAATTTTCTCAAGGGGAAAGGCAGCATACCTCTTTAATCTGTATTTGATATACATTCTATAAACATAATACATATATATATCCATACAAAAGCATGTTTCTGGTTACTGAAACATGGAGTTGTTGACTCTGGTTACTTCAAGAGCAGTTTATTGGCATCCTAAATATTAGTCCACCTTTATTCTGGAGGAGGAGGTGGAGGCTGAGGAGGTAATGGTGGTGGGAGAGGAGGGTTAGAGTTTGTTTTTCCCACAGGTAGTCCATGACCTCTAAGTACAGGTGGAGGTGGAGGAGGAGTAACTTGGTAAGGATAATAATGAGGATAAAAAGGCTGCTCTCCATAATTTCCAACATCAACATTATTATACACAGTAGCATCATTCACCTGATGCTGCAAGCGCCCAGAACTCAAATCATTTGACGCTTGTTGAGTGTTCATATTGCTACGATGAATGCCATGCCGGGAAATTTTGCCTTGCTTAGGCACAGCAATGGATCCATCAGCATTGTGACTTTTGTGAGAGTGGTCAACTTTAGCATACTTAGATGATGACTCATAGAAATTTTTAGAATTTGAATCTTGGTTGGCTGGACTATGTACACGTTTCCTAGATTCACGTTCATTTTTATGAGAAGTACTATAAGAGCCAGATCCAGATTTATCTTTGGTTATCACTAGTTTAATTGGAGTAGTAGTAGGAGGAGGATTGGCAGTTTTTATTTTAGGAGGCTCAGGTGTAGGTTGAGAATGAGGTCTTATTTTTAACTTAATAGCTTTTTTTGGACTTTCACTTTTATCCACAGCTGGAGGCTTTTCAGGAAGACAAATTATATCCTTACGAATTTTAACTTTAATTCCAGGAGTACTTTGTTCAGAGTGATTGCTTATAGATTTGTCTTTTGATGAATGAGCTGAATGCTTGCTTCTATGCTTTTCCCGCCGCTCATGTTTGCTTGGTAAAATTTCAGCACTTTTACTCCCAACGTCATTAACTAAAGGAGTATGAACCCTAGCATCCACATCAGTTTCTTTGGAACCATTAGTTTTAATGTCTTTTGCAGGGCTCTGTTTCAGAGGGGTACCCTGAGATATTGGTTGAAAAGCATTTTGACTATTGTGCAGAGAATTTGCTTTATGCTTTTTCTTATGAGCAGATTCAATGACCCTTTTTACTGAAAGGGCAGCTTCCTGCTCATATGCACTTTCTTGAACATCATCATCTGTATGGTCCATGACAGTTAATTTATCATTCGAAGAATGCATGGCTGAATCACGTACATCAGAATCTGCTACATCTTTTATTTCTGATTTAGCATCACATCTTTCTAAAATAACTACAGGATCATTTGATACATGAGCAGAACTCCGTGACACACTATCCAAAGAATGCTTATTATCTTTAGCATAAGAAGCATCAGAATTCATTTTTGGCAACTGATGATTCAATTTGTTCTGTGAGGTAGGATTAGTAAGAATATCTTTAACAGTACTACTTTTACTTCCTTTTTCTTTAGAATGTGAAGGAAGCTCGGATGGTTTAACAACACTCTTATGATGAATCCTCTCATTTTCATTAAAGGCATGCTGTGATTTACTATTTCCAGTTTGATGAACAGATGATAAATCAGGAGGCACAACAGAACTTTTATGTTCCAATCGTTCTTTTTCCCTTTTTTCACGATAAGCTTCTATAGATATGGAATGTGAAGGTTCCACTTTAATCTTTTCCTTTTTAAGTGGAGCAGGTTGCATAAGAGGAGTAGTAGATTTTTCTGTTCCTTCAACTTTTACAGCAGGCTTTTCATCAGTGTCACTACAAAGGTTGAAAGAAATTGATGATGGTCCCGGAGAAGAATCTTTCCTTGAAAAATCTATCTTGCTTTCTGATGAAAAAGATGAATGTTTTCCAGGATTAGATGATTCATCCAAAATGCCTTTAGATCCATGGGCATCCTGTTAATAAACAAATAAAATTTAACAAAAATAAGCATTTTTAATTTTTAAAAAAGTTTAAGCAAGCATTTTAACAAATTAATTAAAATCCAAGATAATTAAAAAGTTAATCTTTATCACATTTTATCTCATTCAGTTTTCTACACTGATGGAGTTTTAATGCCATAGCTGCTAACTCTGAAATAAGAAATATGAGGAGGTTTTCATGCTGCATGTTTCAAAAGAGCTCCAAACTGACTAAAATTTCTTTTATAATGCATGATTCAGGTTACTGAGCTAGTTATGGCATGATTTTGATATAAAATATAATATTGTTTAATTAAATACAGTAATTCCCTGACTTATCTAATAAGTATCAGAGAATTTTTATATTTGTAACTAAGTTACAGTTACTAAGCAAGCATGGTTAACACTGAAACTGAAACCAAATAGAAACAAGGATTCTGCAAATATATTTTTTCGACCCATATTTCTTATATTCAAATAACATTCCGATGGTTAGTTTAAACATTTATCATTGCCTATTTACCCTAGTATGAATGACTAGTGTTCACTGCCTATTTACCCTTATTTATTTTGAAATGGATTTGAACTTCAAAACCATATGCTTTGGTTAATATTCATTTTTTCAGAGGAGCACTTTTTAAGCATCTTCAACTTATTATGTGAATATAAACTTTATTATTGAGTTTATTTATAGTCAATAATCAGAATTCATATACATGTCTGCAGATGGAAATTAAATATTTTTAAGGACCATCAATGAAAAAAAATGAAGGTTCTATCAGCAAATGGGAATTGAATAAATTAAAGTAATTATCTATGCCCAAACTTCACTTTTATCATTCACAGAATAAAATAGATCTTTAAGTAGGATCTATTATTGTTAAACTAATTAACATAATATAAAACAAATTCAATAATAAAACCAATTTTATAAAATTTATCAAGCACCAAGCATTAAATTACAAATTTTTTTTAAACATTTAGATTTTACACTTAAAATAGTCCAACATATCATAAAGATGATTAGTGAGATTTTATTTAAATTTTTATTAACAGTTAGCTTTAAGTTAACATTTTCTTTTATGGATAATTTCATCATGTTTTTGCTCAGTCCAAAGGTTTATGCAGATTATATGTCCAACGGAATCAGCCTGATTTGTGAGTACTAGATGTTGGCATGGATGGTAAATGTTGAAAGTTAGTAGCGCTTTGTCTGTCTCACCCAGTTAGAGCCATAGCTTTGCACAGAGCTGCTGAAGTAATTTAACAACTTTCAGCAAATACCCAGTGATTTATACCTGGTTATATACCATACCAAATACCCAGTTATATACTGTAAATATCAAATGATTTATACCCAGTTATACTACATGAATTATTATTACTATACCAAATGATTTAAACTCAGTTAATATAGTGTAAACTTCCAACAAGTCACTGAAGTACCTGAGGCGATAAATTATTTTGTATTATTTAGGTCTCACTAGCTTTAAATAATAAAGTTTTATGTTAATTTTTACATTTTTGTGTAATATCTTACGACACAGAGTAAGGATTATGCAAAGAAGATAACTTGCCTAAACATACAGACAGAACTTCTAAAGATGAGCAGTTATTTACGAGTAATTAAAGTCGATAGTTAAAACAAAAATTCTGCCATAACGCATGAAAATATTATGCAACACGAGCAGAGAAGACCATATTTAAACATATGCTTAAATCAAAGTCACTTCTTACCAGCAGTAACAAAATAATTAAAAGATAATGCACTTCTATTTAAAAAACTGTTATCCTTTTAAAATTTTTAAACTAACTTCCAAAGATAAAAACCTCTAAAGATAAAAATTCAGAAGATTTCTCCAAAATGCAGAAGAACACGAAGAATTAATATCATGCTTTTATATTAAAAAAATAACAATTTATACAAATAGAAAAAAAGAAAATTGTACTTACATTAGTAAATTTCAATTAAGTAGTAACTAAAAATTTTATTAGGAAACATAAAACAAGAACTTAATGTTACACAAAAAAATTATTGCAATGAATTTAGAGTGCATTTTTTGGCCTTGGAAAATTTCCTGTCATAACAATTAGTTTCCTCATAACATTTAGCAATTAAAATGTTTTCTAGAGTTTTTGGTGAAATTGAAGAACGAAACATAGTTTTGTTTTTCTTCACAACATTGAAGACTCTCTCGCACTCAGCATTGTGGAATTATGAGAATAGCACATAAACCTCTTGCTAGTCTATCATATTTTGGTGTTCCATCAGCTCTTTTTATTCTTTTTAAGGTACCAACGAGGACATCAAGTCTATCTTCTCCAGAACTGGCAAAGTCTTTAAATTGTGCAGCAGAAAATTGGTTGTGTAGTTCATCAAAAGCATCATTATGGCATTCATTTTCTTTAATTGTTAACAAAAATGGAAATTTATCAATAAAAAACGAATCTTTTCAAAAGATGAATTTTCAATTTGTTTCAAATTTGCCACTTCAACATTTAAAAGAACTTCATCTTGAAAAGGATACTTCCTTACAATGTAATTACAGGCTGAGGAAAAGTATTTTCTAACACATTGAAAAAATTCTTTTTTCTCATGATCTTTCAAAGAATTTACAAGTTCCCTAGTTTGATTTCCAATTATAAGATCATTGTCATCCTTTTGATTTGCCAAACTATTATAGGCAACATGAATCACACTGTTTTTCACTATGGATGGTTTTACAAACTTAGTATAAAGTTCTTTCAAAAGATCCTTAAGAATTTGGATAAGTAGGGGAGATTTTGGCGAAGCTGATTGTAGAAGGGTATTTACACTTTCAAAAATCTTAATGGTACTTAACGCAAAACTACAATATGCTTTGTTCAAATCCGAAGAAAGAAGATAGAAAATCCTTTCCTCCCGGCTAATAGAAGACCGTTTCTTCTTCCCTTCAACTTCTTTAACAAAGTTGACCTTTGAAGAGTCTTCTAAGCATTTTCTTTTTAAAGGGTTTGATTCTGTGTGTTGGCTTTTCACTTTTAAAGCATTTTGATTAGAAGCAAAGTTGGTTTTCGGAATCTTATATGCCGACAAATTTGATGGGATCTGTGGTTTCGTTTTGGTCTCTTCGTGGAAATATTTTAGCAATGCATCCCACTGTTCAATAAACCTTCCTAGCACTCTGCCTAAGGACAACCATCTTGTGCATACATGTTTCAGAACTTTTCTCGTTTCACCTGAGCACAGTTCTTGGAAATTCTTTAGGTTTTCTTTCCTTTTTACACTTTTTTCCAGATAGAAAAACACATCAATCAGAAGCTGTTCAATATTTAATGGTAAAGCAGCTGCAGCTTTTTCTGCTGCCAAATTAATTAAGTGGCACGGGCATCCAATAACAATTAATTCATTTTTTTCTTTTTTTAGGAAAGAGGCCACACCCTTTTCGTCACCCACCATGACATGAGCATTATCTGCACCAAATGAAATGCAGTTTGATATTGGGATGTTAAGTTGTTTCAACTCATTAATTACCAAGGAGGCAATATTTTCCCCCGTAGCGTCTCCATTTAACAATGGAAGACGCAAAAGATGAGTTTTCATTTCATTAGAAACATCACAGAAATATGTGACAACAATGGGGTAAAGCTTCCAACCGCTGTCGTTGCTGCCATCTATTGACACCGAAAATGCTGAATTCTGGAGTGCAGCTATTGTTTTACTTTGTGCATCGCAAGCAATTTCATTCACAATAGAAGATGTTTTCGTGCGAGCACAAGCATATTTCTGAGCCATCCTGAGTCGGGAAACATCCGTCTGAAAAGTTGACTGGCGTAAATGGCAGCGTTTAGCGGCACGTTGTGTTCGATGAGGAATGCAGTAAACAAACACTCTGCCAAAATGACATCGGCATCCGAATTCGTAGCCGAATTTGAAAAAAAAAAAATCATTCACTTTCTTTGACGCTGTCGAAGCCGAAGCATTACCTTCGTGCTTTTTAGACTTAACATGCTTCACAATGTCGCTTCTTCCACCGTGACTTATTATGAAGTCACACACGCACACGTTGCAAAATGCATAGACATTTCCTTTGAAGGATTCTTTAATTGTTGGAAATTCAGCTTTGTAGGCAGGCCGAAAATACTGAGAATACTTTTTTTTTTTTTTTAACTCATTTCGTAACAACGATGTATTAAGAAAATTCGTAGCACGTGCAAACAAACAAACCAAACCAAAAAAAAAAAAAAAAAAGAATGCGACAATCCATGCTTGCTGAGTAATTCCCTTGCTGCTGAAGCGAACGCGAAAAAAATAATCTGGCGCCCACAAAGAAAAGAGTGGGAGAAACAAGTTCAGCGCATTGGATTAGCTGGTTAAGCGACTAGTTGGGAAAAACCGCAGGTTACTGGATTCGAAGTAGTCGGTAGTTGGCGGTAAAACACAATGCAATTGGCAAAAATCGCTGAATTGTCAAATAATTCTAAAATTTCAACAAAAATCACTAAAAAAACTTGAAAAAGGAAAAAAATCGTAAAAAATGGATTATGATCGTAAAAACAGACGCATTTTCGTAAAAATTACGAAAAATTCGTAAACGTTGGCAGGTATGCAAAAGGATAACAACAGTTAATAATCAAAATCCCTATGAAAGTATGTGAAAGGAAAATAAAAAAAAATAATAATAGTCAATTTCCTATATCAATATGTATAAAAAGGTAAAAAACCAAGCACTACAGAAAGTTTTTAATGTCCTTTATACAAACGTGTATTTAAAAAAATCAATTTCTTTTATCAATATGTATAAAAAGGTATATTTTGATTTCAGTTTATTCGAGTTTTTCCTATTTCTGTTTTACCGAATTTTTATAATCAGTTAATCTTTAAATAGCATAATCATCAAAGAAGAACAAAACAGCTTACAAACACATGCAAAAAAAGATCATACTCAATAGATATCCTCTCATATGCATTAAAAACAAATTAGTATTATTTTTTCAATAAATCTAATTTTGCAAATACTATTAACACTCCAAACATTACGAGTTTAGCCCTGAAATTTCATAGTTCCTCAAAATCTTGGGAATAAATGTATTTTCTTGATCATAATTAAAAAACGACTCTCACTTTGTACATTGATTCTTTCCTTTCACTATACGTTCAACCCAAAATCGAATACATTTAAAGTTGGCAGAAATTTTTATATATAATGAATATAAAAGCAACAGTTCTATACAGAATTTTCCATACGTAATGCTGAGAGGGTTAATACAAAACTAACAATTATGCCATTTTCAAAATATCTTAATCATCACAAATGAAGAATAATTTGATGTATTTCAACATTAAATATTTTGAGGGGTAAAATCGCTTAAAGAAAATTAAATGCAGCTAAAAATATACACATACTTTCTGCTGGATAAATTTCCGCTTGAAACGATGTGGACTTGTTTCCAATATTGCTATGAATTCTTGTGTTAAAGCTAAAAAAGACAGAGACAAAAAATCAGAACACAGAATCAAATAACTTGCTCAACAAGAAACTGGATGACAAAACTGTAAAAACGAAATGATAAATACTTTGTATGTATTTAAACCCTTCGAGCCGGGTAGCGAAAACGTGCGCTTATCGCGAAGGCTGGCAGTGTCTTCCGCGAGCATCTCTCCAGGGCCGGGGGCTTTTTTGCTACTAAGCCTAAATCCATGAAATTTCCGAAGTATCAAAGCATTGTTTAATAATGCTCTATAGAGTATTTAAACGGCTTTTATGCTTTATAGATATTTTTATATATATACTTTTAATTACCTTATTTCTGTTTAAAATGCATATTTTACACATTTTATTTTAATTACTCACCATTTTATGACTTTTAACATTATACATCTGAAAACTAAATTATTACTTAAAATTCTCTTTTCATATAAAAAATTTTAAAACAGGGATCTACACACAGTCCTACGTTACATTCCTTGAACTCGTAATAACTCATTTGCCGTTTGGAGGATTTTCCGAGAATGTGAACAACGAAGCATCGTCGTCGTCTCATTTCTTATCAGTCTCTTCTGAACAAAGTTTTGGAAAATGTCTTTCAGTTAATCTTTCAGAATCAATACAAAATATCAGAATTTCAGAATCATATCTGAAATATTTTGCATCATTTCTGCTATTCAATGCTCTGTTAAACATTTTTCTACGCTTCGACATTGAAACGGTAAAAACAGAAAGAATTCACGTCTAACAAGATCTAATTATTTTCTAAAAACTGAACTGTAAACCAAAATACTCAACGCTTTAGTGCATATAAAACTTCTACTTACAATAAACAAATACCACGTGCGAATGAAGTGCGATTTAAAGAGACGTCATAAATAACGCCATTCGGAAACATTTAGTTCCCCGTTTGTTTATATAATCAAAAACACGTGTATGTGAGTCATGCTTTGTATGTGAGTCATTTCGAGTAGAAGGTCTAATGTACATGTATCTGAAACCGTATGGACATACAGTGCCATCTTGTGGCAGAAATTATAGTTTGAAAAACGTTCCAAGGTACTGGCACAAACACGTGACAGTCGGTAGTAAACGCAACAATGCTCTGGCATGCCTGCGTGTCGGCCGGTAGATAAGTGTGTTCGTTGCTGGCACGTATACGTGACAGTCGGCCCGAAGGGGTTAAGAATAACAATGTCTCAGAAAATGTACAGACATGACTGATAAAATGAGTGATTTTATAACTTATACCTTCATACTGCTGAGTTATTACACAGAAAGTAAAGAATTTTTTAGTACAGACATAAAAATTAGTAAATCCTTGTACAACATGATTATGAAACATGAAATGTTTTTAAAAGTCATATGTAAGACTCTGAAATTTTTGAAATACACGCAGATTATAAATGACAGAAAAGTATTGAAAATACAAACTATTCCAGCCTAGCAGATGATTTTTTATTGGCTATTTGCAAGTAATTTAGCATAGCATAAATTTTAGGCTGAAGGAAAAGTGGAATTGATGCGAGAATATTATTTCGCTATGACTTTTTAATGTGGGATTAAATCAAGAAGAATGTGTTTAACATCTACAATTAGTATTTTGAAATGAAGGTTTATCTCATGCTACCGTTTTTATAGTTTATAGAATTTCACAGAGGTTGCAACTCGCTTCTGAATAAAGAACACACAGGAGAGCCATTGTCAGCTGTAATTCCAGATACTTTGTCTGTCATACAGAAAATCTTAATCAATGATAATTGCTGCACCTACCAAATGATACAGAAAGAAACCAAATGATACAGAAAGAACTTAGTATTGGATCCGCTGCCATACGTACATTTATTCATGAAGAATTAATGGCATATGAAAAAAACATTTTGCCTTTATGTTCCCCATAATTTAACTAAGTAACAAAAAAAAAAGGAGTGTGTCAGAATCAGTACAGAAAGCCTTATATTAACTAAAAGATGATGGCCATCACATTATTTCTAAAATCTTAGCTGGTGATGAAATGTGCATACTATTTTTTGATGCTCCAACTTCACCAAGAAAGTAAAGTATGGGTCTTTGAAGATGACCCCACGCACACAATGGCAAAAGGACAACGTGGCATGAGAAAAGTAATGTATGCTGTTTTCTTTAGAAGTACAGGACCATCAAGTTGGAAAGACAGAAGACAGCCACAGGTAACCGATACACTCCTAGTGTCTTCCTGAAATTCTTCAAGAAGTGAATATTAGAGGACTCATGACCCACCATGACAATGCATCTTCATTCTGCAAGATTGACAGTTGAGTTTCTTGAACAAAAACACATCAAAGTGACAGAACATCCATCTTAATCACCCGATCTAGTTAAGTGATACTTTTGGCTATTTTCTAATCTAAAAAAAGAACTTATGTGGACATCCTTTTTTATTCCAAAAATGAGATTTATATTACTAAAAATGCTTTTTTTTTTCATAGATTCCAAGAAATTAATGGCTTGAGGCATTTTACAAGGTAGCCACTCTAACAGGAGAATGAAATTCCCTGATCATTCCAGATGTGTTTTAAGAAAATTCCAGTTTATCCGCATAGCGCACGATGGTTGTGCTGAGAGGTAAATTATGGCATACTTGCCAACCTATGACACTCAAAAATCAGGAGATTTTTTTACGAAATCGGGAGATTTTTCACAATGTTAAAAAGACTTTTTAAATGATGAAAATATAGTTTTTAAAAATGAATTAACTTTAAATAGTAACTAATTCTTAAATGCAAGCAACACAAAAATACCTTACACTAAAAAAACATTTTTATTACTGCATCGATTAAGAAAAAAGAAAACCACTTTAATTAGTTTTCGTACAAATGTTATAAACAGTGGCAGATTTTGCTTTCTTTAAGAAACTTCATAATTTTGTTCGTAGTAATTGCCACGTAGGCCTGCTTTCGCTAATAAAAGCTTTTCTAATGTGTCATCACTAATATTAGATCTAAATTTAGTCCTCATTTTGGCAACAATACTGAAAATTTTCTCACACTCTGCATTATTATGGGGAACTGTCAAGATGGCCAACATAATTCTAGACAGCTCCCTATATTTTAAAATTTCCATCAGCAGACATCTGCATTAGCACACTTTTTGGTCCTCTGTTTCCGAAGAAAAATTTTATTTTTCGTTTTTTTCAACACAACTCATGTTGTCCTTTGTTTTTTTGTGTACGCACATGTTTTGAGAACATCCGCCCTTCTACAATGCGAATCGAAATCGCAACGACAGGCAGTAACATCACAAATTTATTACATTTCCTTGAGGAAATAATGGAAAGAAAGTCAACTGGTATGATTTTTGAAACGTACCGAGTATTTCACCTTCTGGCAGACATAACAAAAGATGATAATTTCTAAAACTATTTCCCTAAGGCACGTATACTCAAACAACTCAGGACAAAATGACCGACATAACTAAAGAACATCCAAATAACAGCTTGCTTTGTCCTCATTGGCTAATTAATATATGCCAGATGACACGTAGTGGAGCACGATGTCCCCATTGGAGAACTGGAGAACGACCTTTCTGGATACGTATATGCTCTGCTCTCACTTACAAAGCAGAAGTTATCTAATTCGCAAGGTTTTGTTTTAGATATAACCTAGAGAAAATTCAATTGCTTTCAGACTGCCAAAATATCGCTTTTTTTTTTTCGGGGGGGGGGGGGTTATATAACAAAGTATTAAGCCAAGTTCCATAAAAATCGTGAGAAATTTTAAGAATAAGAAAAAGTCGGGAGAAATATATTGTAAATCGGGTTGGCGGGAGAGCGGTCGAAAATCGGGAGAGTTGGCAACTCCGTTATGGTATCCCTTGAAAACACAAAACTTGGCCAATTACATATGACTTATACCCAAAGCATTACTCTTATAACTATACTAGTTTCTTTCTCTACTGAAGACTGAGATTAGAATCTGCCCAATCTGGATTAAAAAATGTCCCTTTTTGCAGCTAAATAAAAGAAAGAAATCTACTTAATGATATTTTCAATAAATTTATAAGGTATTTCTCCCACTTTCCTAGCGAGCCTTCGTGGTGTAGTGGTTCTGCACACTGAGCCGGTATTTCAGAGGTCCGTGGATCGATTCCCGGCAAAGGCGGTTGCATAGTTTTCATCTCTCTGGCTTCCAAAAAAAAAATCCTAATGTCTCTACAGTGGCGCCCGAACTAGAAGGGTTGTGGATGATGATTCTCCGCACCCAGGATTTGGCGACTAGGTTCCTAAAACCCTAGTCGCCTCTAAAAAGGGAGTATATAAGGTATTTCTCCCACTTTCCTAGCAAGCCTTCGTGGTGTAGTGGTTCTGCACACTGAACCGGTATTTCAGAGGTCCGTGGTTCGATTCCCGGCGAAGGCGGTTGCATATTTTTCATCTCTCTGGCTTCCAAAAAAAAAATCCTAAAGTCTCTAAAAATTCAGGTATTTAATTTTACATTTATTTAACAGCATACATAAGCAACAAATATGTGCATTAAATTTCGTGATGGTATGTCATCATTTTGCAAGAATTAGTTTCAGGAGTATGATAGAGAAAATTGCCCGAAATTTGAAAGTATTATTCATAGACTCTAACCTTCAGCACACCTTGTCGTAGTCACGCGCGAACGACATTTTTACAACTTGAAAATGTGCGCGTAGCGTATGTTGTAATTAAACCATCATTGATTTTAAAACTAATAATTCATTGTAATCAATTTTATTACATTTAAAATCCTATACATATAAACTGAATAATTAAAAATATACCTTGTAAATTATATGCACATTTAATAGAAATTTTCTTTTAACTCCTCAAGCATTCACTATAAAAAGTACTTCAAATCACTACTAATCATAGAAAAAATCAGAAGCTATAATCTATCTTTATTCTGGATATGATTTCTACAGGGAAATAAAATTTAAATAACCAAGAATGATACATATAAAGTATTAAACAAAATACGCATAATTTAT